AACAAGTTCTGTTACGGCTGTGTATATTCCTTCAGTTATGTGTTTATTTGAGAGAGAGGGTTTTGCAATGGGGCACATGCGCTCACCGAGAGACAGAGAGACAGAAAGAGAGAAATCGCTCCCCAGGGAGATGGCCCGCCACAGTCCCTTCTCTCCCATTCCCGTCTTGGGATCTTGGGCACACGTGCACACATTCACAGCACACATTAAGCCACCAGGTCTGGGACTCGAACCGCGGTCCACTACGTGGGAGTCCAGCGACACCCACTGCGCCATCTGCTGCTCCCCTGTTCCTTCGGTTACTGGGCCAGTCGCCTACCAGTCACATGCTGGGTTTTCTCCACCTTTAGCTATGGCGATGGGTGCCCAGCATCTGAACCAAGCTCTGAGCACACCGGGGCGTGCTTCTGGAAGGCAAATCCCTGGAAGTGAAATCGCTTCGACGGATGCGTTGCTGAGCGTTGGCCAGCAAGCTTTGTCGGCGACAGGCCCCAGCAAGGCTCTGAGGGGTGATTTCACCCCACCGGGGGGAGACCGTCCCTCGCACCGTCATCGATGTGTGGATGAGCCAGGTCGGGCCGTGGCCAGCACGCAGGCACCTGCCTCGACTCTGAGGGTTCAGGGAGGATCGTGGTGCCAGTCCAGAGGGGTGCACAGTCAAGAAAGGGCACAGTGAAGTGGTCAGGTAACAGGCGTGTGCTGCCGTGTTCAGAATAAAACTGGGCGGAGGGTCTGGAGAGAGAGCGCACAGGGGACAGAGAACAAGACTACAGGTGACAGAGTGACAGAGACTATAGAGGAGAGAGAGCGAGACACAGGGGACAGAGAGAGAGAGACTACGGTCTCGAGACAGAGAGAGACACAGGGGGCAGAGAGACTGTAGGGGACAGAGAGAAATTACAGGGGGACAGAGAGCGAGAGACACGGGACAGAGAGAGAGAGAGTACAGGGGACAGAGAGACTTCAGGGGACAGAGCCACACTACAAGGGGACAGAGAGGGACTATGAGGGCCGAGGAACCGGAAGCCGAGGGAGAGACGCTATCCAGGACGAACTCCCGGCAGCAGCTCATCTCCCAGGGTAAAGTTTCCAGCCCGATGAGATAACCACAGAGATAGAAGGACGTGGAGAGACAGAGCTGGAAAGAAAGGCAGGTGGGAGGGAGGAGGCCGTGTGGGGTTAGCATGGCTCTCGGGCAACCTCGGCGGGAGTGGAGGCGGCCAGCCAGGGAGGACGGACAGGGCCGGAGCACCACGAGGAAAGCCAGGATGGCCGTGAGCCCCACCCGCGGGCACAGACGACGCAGAGCAGAGGTCTGAGCCCGGGTGAGGCCGGGGCTCCCGGCCACTGCCCCGTCCAGGCAGCACTGCCCCACCCCCGTCACACTGGGGAAGCCGAGCCCCTGAGCAGCCGGTGACCCCAGGTGGGAGTGTGGGCACAGTGGAGCACCTCCGCATCCCACTGCAGCCGGCGACTGCCCACACCACAGCACTCCGCCACCTCCCTGGACGCGGCGGTGAACGCGGGGGAACACGTGCACTGCTGTGTGCCTCACGCTCAGCGGCATTCTCACGGCAAGGCCACTTCTCAGGAGGTGCACCACGCGAGGCCACGCTCCCTCCCCACCTCTCAGAGAGGTGCACCGCGCGAGGCCACGCTCCCTCCCCCACTCCTCAAAGAGGTACCCCACGCGAGA